ACATTCACTTTCGGCACAAAGTGCTTCTCCAGTGCGCTCATGGCGTCAGCATATGTATCACCTTGCTCCGGTAACGTGTAGAATAACCGCTGTCCCTCCGGGCCCAAGCAGTGTAGCAAAACAGCGCGTTTCCTAGCATCCGGCCATGCGTCTCCCGTGGCATTGATTACTAGCATGTAATTGTCGAATATTTTCCGCCATGTAGTAAATGGAATCGGCGGCTCACCCACATGTGGAAGAAAAGATGGTGGACTCGGAACTGATGCACTCATCCTCGTCGCCAATTTGTGGTGTTTCGACAGAAGAACGGAGATGGCTTGGTTTAGAATGGAACGTGTATTCAGCAGTAGTTAGCCATCCAAAAACGTATCACCATACACTTCTCTTCTTCTATCCTTCTATCACTATTAGTCACAGAGCCCCCTACTGGTAACTGAGTATATGTTCATATTCAGTCCCCCTTGTAAAGCAATCCTTCACCATCTTAGCAGTGTATGTAAACATAACACACCTTAACTTTTGACTCACTCTATTTACAGGTGTCAAAGGAACTTGTTGTTTTGGTTTCAGTCATTTTTTAATTGAGACATAAACTTGATTTGGGCTTAAAGGTTTTAGATTAGTTACTGAGTAATGAAAGCAATGCTTATTTTCTGTGTAAGGAGACAAATGCATGATTCTGCATAACCTGTTAAAAAAACATTGTCCTTGAAAACTGAGTTCAAAAATTTGCAAAAACAAAAGCACCCCCCTGAAAAAAAAATTGTGCTTGTGCACTGACACTACTCTCCAATTTGCTTTTAATGTAATTTTTAAAACCTTTTTGGCATGCAGAGGTGAACAGGAAACTACATTGTTTAATTTCTTTCTTTCATGTTCAGTCCTAAATGAAGTGCTTCGCTGCAGTAATATGCAGTAATAGCATACAGACTCTTGAATGCAGATTTTGAACATCTCTGAGGTCAAGAATCAGCTAGACCAGAACAGATAACCCTAAGTGTGCGATCCCTTCTCTGCATCATTTATTTTTGAGAAATGATCACACTAACTAGACAACTAACTAGACAAATTAAAGTTCTAGTCGACATGTTAGGGATCTAAAACCAAGTCTGATATGAATATTGCTCACGATTAAATGTTTGTTTAAGGCTGCATATATTACTCTACCTGTTGCAAATAATACAGATAATACATTTGATACTGGGCACCAATGAAAAAATATACACTGAAAAAACTAAAATGAAGACTGCGGGTATTTCACAGACGTTGTTGTTTCTCTTCGTTCTTTCATTTTCAGAAATATTGCGGGAAAAAACAGTAAATAAGTAATCAGTAAAATATTGCTGTGGTAATGGCTACTTAAAACCAGAACCTTTAAATGACTTACTCAAGGGCCCAGCTTGAAGCTAGCGACATACAACCTGACTACAACAGGAAGCATGTTGATGACTGCTTCAGTTTAAAAGCACCAGACCCGCCACCTCCCTATTTGTGCGCTTAAACACGTACACGCAATCGGATGTGGTTTCTGTACTTACTGCTAGCTTCCCGTTAGCACCGCTGCCAATAACTAGTGGAAGGAGGAGGGACTCTGTGGACCGCTGCGTTGGCGGATGCTTTACAGTCAGACGGGGAGACTGAGGACTTGGAGACAAAACACTTTTCTGGATTTTGAAGGACTTGTTGGTTAATTACCTCAGACGACAGCACAAGCATAGAAAAAGATCGATAAATATGGTGAATCCTGTGTTCTGGGCTATGCTGGTCTGCATGACCGTCCTGCTGATTGAGCAAGGTAAGTGATAGATTTTTTTCATTCTTGACGCACTTGTTATCGCTATCTTGGAATCCGTTTGTACCGGATAGTTTGTTAATGTATTAAGTGCCCTATTCATGGCGGTGTCTGCTCCTGCGTTTGACTCCTTAATGCTTGCAATCTCGGCTCAGCAGCTTAAATTAAGCGATTACTGAAGCGCCGTTGAGCTTTCTTGGTGGTAGTGACTAGACTCTGTAAGTGTTTCAGGGGTTACTCTGAACGTGTCTTTACAGCTGCATCCCCTTTTCTTGCGTAAAAGTTCGTCATACCAAGGTAATTCTGAGCAGTAGTTGGGCTCTGTCTGTATGTATATATATATATGCACCTAACAGAAAAGGAAAAAAAAAAAAAATCATGATCTTTTCTGAAGGCTGGGTTTCAGTCACACAGCTCTTTATTTTTATGCACCCGCAAATCGCAATTTAGCGCTCGTGGCTCCTGGGGATGTGGATCATTTTGACGCATGTCAGATCATGGCAAAGGTGAAGTTCTGGCTGCAAAGTATTAATGGCCAGTGATTAGGTATTAGTTCTTAATCCACATTGACTGTGTTGTCCGGTCATGCAAGTTAAGCCATGTATTCTCTGCGCAGGCAAAGGGGCTTCGGTGTTGGAAGGTAGAGCAGTGAAGCAGCTCAGGCTTTCCCATCCTGTTTCCACCTGACATGAATGATTCAGACCAGTAACTGAATTGTACATAGACAGAGGTATGTTTAAAAGATACAAATAAAAGGTACCTCAGTAAAATAAAGTCTGCTTTTATCAGTGCTCATTCCCAATAAACATGTTACGTCTTTCCTTTTGTTAGTGTTTGAGCTCCATTATCAGTTTAAATTGAGGATGGGACTGGGACACACATACAGTGGGGAAAAGTAAATATCCAACCACTTTGCTAAGTAAATAAAGATGCTATTCACATGAAATTTTCACCATATGTTGGTAACAACCATCCAATCCACACATGGAAATGGAAAAGGGCCTGGTTCTTTTCTGCTCTGATTACTCAAAGCACCTTATACAATTTGCCTAATTCGCCCATTCTTGCAAGCACTTTTTTCTATGCTTTTTCTATCTAACGTCCACACACATTTATACTCCGATGGATTTAAAAGCAACTTGGAGAAATCATCTTGCTCAATGATATTTAGTATGCAGACTGCAGCAGCCAGGGATCGAACCACCAACCTTACAATTAGTAGATGACCAAGAAATCAAACGATTGCTGTCCATAAATTAGGTAATGTGTAATAATGAGAACTGACACAGGTGAAAAGTACTGAACATGATTACTAAAATGTGTTTAATGCTTTGTACGAAAGCCTTTGTTGGTGATGGTAGCTTCAAGTTGCCTCTTGTATGGAAAAACTAGTGGCATACATTGGTCAGTTGTGAATTTGACCCATTTTCCATGCAGTCTTCTAAACCTGAAGGTTCTGTGGGCCCCCTTGGTGAGCACTGATGTTTTGTTCTTTACATGGATTTTCAATTGGATTCAGGTCAAATGACTGGCTGGGCCATTTGATCAGCTTTATAATATTTCTTTGAAACACATTGAGAGTTTCCTTGGGTCTGTGTTTGGGGTCATTCTTGTGCTGAAACATCTTCATCATCCTGGTAGATGGCAGCAGATTTTTATCAAGAATGTCTCAGTACATTTTTCCATTCATTCCCCCTTCAATTGTATGAAGCATGCCAGTGCTGTTTGCTGAAAAACAGACCCACACTTTGATTTTTCCACCCCCAAACTTCACTTATGTTTTTTTTCTTCTGCTTCATACTGAGGCACATTGAAAAATTAAAGAAACAAGTATAAAGTAAAGAAACAAAATTACGCAGAATAGTCCTCTTTAAAGTATTTATGTTATTGCTTGTGCTTGTGAATGTTAAGTGGACATTAAATAGTTAAAACTGTGTCGCTGAAGTGTAATTGTAGGTGTACAGTGCATTTCCATCTGTGAACATCATCACGACTGTTCGTTTATGAGTGAAATAATGTTGGCCTGTATGCAAAGGAATACAAAAAGAACCATGCAGGCAAAGAGGAAAGAAGGAAGCTCCGCTCCTGTAGTCTTTCCTAGTCTCTAACTGATAGAGATGAAGATGTAAGAAGCGCCTTGGCTGAGGCTGCAGCCTCTGTGGTGCAAAGCAGTGTACATATGGATGGCAGTCAACATGAATGAGTGCCTGAAGAGGTTCTCTATGCACCTGTAGGGGATGAGCCTCAGACCAAAATTGCTATGAGGCTGTGTCAGCTCTCTGTAGAGAGGGTGGGAAGCTTTGTCCACACTTTCCTTCAGTTTAGTCCCCTGTTGACATGTTTTGTGCTATAGTTCTTTAATCTTCTCTTTCCATTTTCTCTAGCAGTAATTTCTTGGAGACAGCTGACATCATGCACAGTACACCAGTCTCTTGTTGTCATTTAGTTTTCTCATGTGCAGCAGGAAAATGTGGGAATATGTCAAGGTCAGCTTCACAGAACTCTCACATAAATGCAGTCTTACATAATTTTGTGTTGTTTAATATGGTTGCTACAAGCAGTTGGATGGACTCGACATGGTGAAATGGACTCATGCTTGACAGTCAAATCACATAAAATAAATTTGAGTCACGTGAAGTAAAGTACTCATATGAAGAATATAAATGAATGGATGAATTGAACCATGCAGGTCTGTGCCTTCTGTGAAGTGAGGCAGTAGTTCATCTGCTACTGAACCTTTCTGTCAGTGGACTGAATTTATTATACTTTTAGAATATTTCCATAAAATCAGGGAGAATCTGAAGCCCAACAAACATTAGAAACATTAGAAAGGTTGGTGGAAAGTAGTCAAATTAAAAGTTGCAAAAAAGAAAAGGCAAGCAATGAAAGTAAGAAAAAAACAAAACAAAACACAATATGTCATCTGAGTATCACACTGCTCCCAAAGAGGCAGCATGTTTTTTTCTTACACAGAAAATAAGACCATTGCTTTCTGGAGTAATAATCCAGCTTAAGCTAAACACTAATGTTGCAGCCTTATTGTCTAAGTGGACTGCCTCCCTCCCTCCATCTCTGTATGTGGCTGGGAAAACACAGTGCTGTCTGTGTTGCCAGGATTCAACAGAAACTCTTGTGGAGTTTTTTTTTTTCTTGCGGGGGGTTGAGACACTTGTAGGCCTGTGTATTGTTTCTTTTTCCTTTCTCCATCAGGCCGTGTCAGCCAAAGGCGAGAATTGTGTCCTGTCAGATCAACAGTTGTTCTAGGATGACCAGCTGAGAAAGCGGAGATGGATAGGGGTGGTGGCACAGGGGTCACGGTGTGCCTGTTTTTTTTTTTTGGTGGTTTTTTTTGTTTCTTTTTTTGGGAGGAGGGGGGGTGCTTTTGTTAAAAAACGTTAATAATTGTTGACAGGTAGAGTGAGGGTTTTTTTTTCCTCTTGCAGGGCTACAGCTACTCGGAATCTCAAGGCAAAAAAGACAGAGCTTTGCGGTGCACAGTGGACTTGTCCACATACAGCCTTGTAGCAGCATATATATGGACAGAACCGATGACTGACAAAGTCAGGTAGATGTCACCACCCGTTTACAGTGCTGTAATATCAAAATAAATGAATGGAATAGAATTGGCCATGAGATGTTGTTGAAGCCAGGGGGTTTCTCTCCCTTGGAAAACTAGACGATTAACGTTGAAATCCAGAACATGAGATATTTTGATAATCCTTTAAACCACCTTTAAACCATGCTGCCTGAACCTGCATCTACTTTTACTAGTCCAAGACCTCCACTGGTATTAACCTGTTTGATATGATATGAGTATTTAAGAAATGTAGTTTGAATGAATGGCAAGTGAATGTCTTTAACTTCAACTCCAAAAATGCAGTTTGGTCATAACCTTGAACTGTGCTATTGAGTAAATAGTCCATTAATTCACAGGGCCTCATTTGTGCTAATGCGTGACCATTCAGATAAGTTGCCATTACCATGGCAACGAAGATGACTGGAAGATGATTGGAAAGTTTTGACATTGGTTATCTGTTTCACAGAATAAAGGAAATACAGATGCTTCTACTTGTATAGCTGTAGAAATTATACATTTTTACACTCCTGCACACTTGTTTCTGTCTTTTTTTCCAGTTTAATTATGGCCAAAATGTATGTATGTATACCTCTCATGTAATTGTTTGAACAAATCCGAACAGAACAGATTTATAGTTTTGTTGATCGACAGTTTGGTGTTTTCTAAAAAAATAACATTGGCTAAAAGGTTACTGGACACCAACATACATCTGTTTACTTTGTTATTTTAATACAACTGATTAGGGAACACCTTATAATTGCACCATATTTGCAGGGGTGCACATAAGTGGTCCGCAGGTATGCATTCGCTGTCAAAATAGAAGACGCGCACCAGATAAGAAGTTGCAACGCGCGTTTGTGTACATATAAAAGGCACTGTTTTTGTCCGCTAGAGTGGGATTTTCCCGGCATATTCTGCATCACATCTCTGTGCGTTCATCATTTGTTTGAAGCCAGCTCACCTCCTGCAACCACTTTTCCGAGAATACGCGCTTCTTTTGCGGTTCGGACTCCTTCTGACATTTCTTTGGAGGTGGAGGAACACCAAAGTAATTGCTTAAAGGAGCTTGCTTCTTCGACATCTTTAAGAGTTCTAAACAAATGTCTGTCCTCCTCCGGAAAATCTTACGTACGCAAACGCGCATTGCAACTTCTTATCTGGTGCGTGTCTTTTATTTTGACAGAAAATGCGCACCTGCGGACCACTTATGTGCACCCCTGCATATTTGGTTAATGACATTTTTTTTAATTATAAAAATTTATGTTGGATATTTTTATATGACAGGATTGTGATGAGATGGTTAACACTCCCAAAGGCCCTTTAAGGAGTTCTCAGGCATATAGAGAGTTTTTAAGTTATTCCTTTCAACAGCTCTGTGGACCTCGGGAGCAGTGTGCTCATCATGAGAAGCACTGAGTTTGCCTGG